CGTTACTCCGTTGTAATTCTGAATACCAACCATGCAAAAATACTCTGGTTCATTACTCCGTTGCAGTGTCATTGTAATTTCAAATGCTTTTGAAATGATACTATGTCACGGATTATAACAGCAGAAGCAGAACACAATAATTACTGGAAGGAAAAAATAAAAAGTAATAGAACTGCAGCCCCAAATAACTTGAACTCAGACGCTCTGAACTTGAAACAAAACAAGATGGATGAATACGAAAGGTGATTCACATAGAATCCTTATGAAATTAACAGTGATCATAAATTTTTTGGGATATCATTGTGGTAACTCACAAGTGGCAATTCATCGTGCCCTTAGACATTGCAACTCAAGAAAGGCTCATGTGGCAACAGGATCAATTATAAAAAAAAAAAATTTATTTTTTAATTACAGGTTCAACCAAGGAACAATAGGATCACTAATTACATTAACTTATTCCAAAACAAAATAAACAATGCCAGTGTCTAAAGATATGAGACAGCATAATAGCATCTGAAACCATTCACGTTGCAAAAATAATGGTCAAACATCCTGCCTCGAAACTATCACCACATTGCCTTTGGTTGACCAAAGGTTTTACATCAGGCTCTAACACAGCCATGTTCCAATCCCACATCAATCTCATGACAGAGCTTTAGACATATAATATTATCTGATAAATAATGCCCTTGTTTGGTGAGAATTAAAATTAGTTTTTTATATGTGATTGAAAAGTTGTGAATTCCATAAAATATGTGGTTATAATTAATTGTTGACTTTGATTTAGATTAAAATCTTGATTTTAATCACCAACAAACAAGGGCAATATATCCTAACTATTTTAAGGAGCATATAATCGTTAATTAATAACACAACAATGAAAGGGGCCATTGATTTAGGATTTACCCAAAACTAATAAAAGGATGTCAATGACCTAATTTACCTCCCTCGAATCAAAACTCATTGTCTCAAACTCGGACTAGACTTATATGAACTAATTCAATGACAGAATAAGGTAGTCCGCATATCGATGTACGTTCACAACACAGCTCATCAAGTTACACTCCTCAAAATACAGAACCAAGTGGAATTCTACATTCCACTCTTCAAAGTAGTTGTATTTAACCAATTTTGACCTTCCCCAATTTAAGCACCTCTAAAACCATCAGGTTAAACACTTTTACAGACCAGTCACCTTCAAAGAACCATATAGACAATACACGAGTAAAAATTGATCACATAATTTTTCAAGACAAAGTAGCCAAAATCTCATTTCAAGAAATTGAAGTATTGGAACTAAAATGTTATCCAATTGTCTCATTCTTAAGTTACATTAGACATAATAGTGAACCATAAGGCACAACCATGGCTAATCTAAACACAATAAACGCATATTTTCATTTTTAATACAACTAACTCACTGACTAATGATCTCATTTGTCGAGGTCCATTGCTTGGGCAGCTTTAGCTTTTGCCAATGGTGTCAATTTTGTCTTCAACTTTTTCTTTCCTACTTGAAATCCACTCCCACCTTTCTTCTTGTTTTTGCTACCGTCCACCTAATTAATGCACAAATAATCAGATCAATAAATAACAAAACAGGCTCCTAAAGACATTTCAAAAGAGTAACATGGATAACAAATATTTAAAGCTTTGCAGAAATTGCTTAATCCAACTAGATTGACAATATCCCAAAAGAAAAAAAGAAAAAGAAAAATTCTCGTCTACAAAAATTGATTGAGAAAATCAACGATTACGGGATTCCTAATCTAATAATAACAAAATACCATGCGACAACACAAGATTTACAATAAAAGGAAAGCTAAGACAAGGAAAAGGTAATTACTTTCATCTTATTTTTCTTGGCTTGAAGATTCTTTTCCTTCTTCTCTTTCTCTTCTTTTTCTCCTGTATTTTCAGTCCAAAACAAACACAAGCAAACTTATTATACAATCTGCAGAAGAAAATCTTACTTACTTAAAATTTAACGTATATCAAATTCTCGACTATATTACTTCTTAGGTCAAAATCGTGCTGCCTTTTCCTGCGAGCTAGATCGTTCTTCTTCGACATTTTCTGAGAGAGGCGCAGTGTCTTCTCAGTCGGTCCGGCCGCTACTCGTAAAAGTCCGAAATAATTCCTAACCCTAATGAGTTGTTTTAAATGGGGGAATTTTTTATGTTTTCCCAATTGGTCCCCAGTTTTCAAATAGTTTTTGTTTTACCACAAACTTTTATTCTCTACTTTCCATTTTTTTTTTTTTTTTTTTTTTTTTTTTTTCTTTTTTGTTTGTCTTTTTTTGTTTTTTTNTGTTGGGTGGCCATGATGCGTTCTTTCCATCATAAGTATACGATATCATAATAAGTAATATAATAAACCTAAGTCCAGATTATCGAGTTCTTCCTTCGTAGCCAAATCTGATAATATGCTTTGGTGATGTTACCTACCAAATAAAAAGTTTGCTAGGTTATTGAAATCACTTCCAAGCCTACGTTTGCTTAGTAAGCTTCAGCTAATCTTTCTTAGCATTCTCTACCAAAAGACCAGTCCAATAATGCCATGTTCCCATGAGGACTATAATTTATTATTTACTATTTTTAACTTCTATTTGATGAATGAAAACAACTATGATTTTTGTAATTGTTTGATCTAACTATTACTAATAAATAGAATGTATATGAATCCAACAAAATTTGAATTAAGGTTTCAAATATGGAATTAATATTAAGGCTCACAAATTCATCTATTGATTACCTTTAATTTTTAAATTAAGATTCACAAATTTATTGTAGTACTCTATCGAAATTCTTTTTTCGTATTTAATTTACATCTTTCGAGTTCTCATTGAATTTGTTTAACTAATTCAACTTTACATCTATATGCGAATAAATTTTAGTTAAACACAATGACTGTTCTAAGAATTCCTAACATAAGTATCTTTACATTTTATACTAGACTAGATTACTGAATTTTATTATATTGTATAAATCTAAAACTCACATCTCAATTTTTAATAGATTCACAAAATCATTGAATTTTTAGATAAGTAATTCAAAGCATTAAACTCATAAATAAAATCAACGTGTGTTCTTTGAAAGAATTAGAATCTTGAATAAATAAATAAATAAAGTGTCTAAAATAAATTACATTATTCACCATAATAAAGGATTTAGCTACTCATAATGTATGAAGAAAAACAATAAAGATTTAGAATTTTGAATAAAGATTTAGAATAAAATTCGATAATATAGTCTAGCTTCTGTTTGATAATTATTATTTCAAAATTCTTTAATTTTCATACTTATTTATAACCACACATTTATATAATAAAACATTTTGTATGTAAACCCAAAATTTTGTCCAACTTTTTATTTATATATTCTTCAAAAATCTACTATTAAAAACCCAATTTTCTCAAAATCATGACCATCAAATATGGACTTAATTTGGCACCTTCTTAGACAAGAAGGAACACGTAAAATCCCAAATTTGGCACCTCCTCAGACAATACGTGAAATATATAACCTCGATTAATGCTGTATAACATAACTGATATTAAAACAACAACGTAGGTGGTCCTAATGAGACATTAAGCCCTTGTTTGTTCCATATTATTTGCAAAATACGTTTTTCTCTATCTTCTTCTCAATCACACATTTCTCAATAAAATAATATTACATGCAAACTTCATTTTTTATTTTTTATTTTTAAGCACACATTTTATATCAATTTACTATTCTAAAATACATTAAAAAAAAATAAAGGGCTCAAACTTTAAAAGATGGGTATAATTAAAGAGTGAATTGTTTCAAAAATCATTGAACTTACACTATCGTCACGGACTGCTTATCGAACTTCATTTTGCTACACAGTACTCACTCAACTTTGCCATTTATCTCTCCATCCACCACTGTCAAAAAATTTGTTTGTTAGACGCTGACGTGGCGGACGAAATTCCGATGTGGCGTCTAACGGCCATTAAAAAATTACAAATCAACAAAATCATTGTTTCATCGCTTATCCAACTTACACTATGTCACAGTTTACTCATCAAACTTCAAAATACTTCTCAATGGTCACTCATCTTTAAAAATTGCACTCCATCTATTATTCGTCATATTTTATTCACTCGTTGCTAATTTATTGTTCGAAAATTTCACGTGTAATTAAAATCATCAAAAAAGTTATAACTAAATCAAACTATCAACACATGAAAATCACCATTTGATCAATTGAATACAATTAGATGTAAAATCGGTGAAATATAGACAAAATATTTTCACAAATCAAGTTAAGTTTCCGATTTTCAGCTTTAGATTAAAACTTATTTTTCACACAATAAACGTTAGAATTATAATAGTGATATTTCTAAAGAATAATTGAGGACGCTTTATTGGATTTTAAAAAAGTTTATGAGGCCGTGGAAGTAATGTTTCACACATGGTGATTTTAATAAATTGATAGTTTCATTGAGTTGTGATTTTTCTAACATTTGTAATTTATTATGTGGATTTTCTATGCAAACATTAGCAACGAAGTGAACGAAATATGACGGATAATGGATGAAGTGCAATATCTCAAAGATGAATGACCATTGGGAAGCATTTTGAAGTTCGATGAGTAAACTGTGACCTAGAGTAGGTTGGATGAGTGATGAAACAATGTTTTTGTTGATTTGTCATTTTTTAACGACTGTCGGACGCCACTTAGAAATGCTGTCCGTCACGTCAGCATCCAACAAACGAATTTTTTGACAGTGGTGGATGAAGAGGTAAATTGCAAAGTTGGGTGAGTACCGTAAAGTAGAATAAAGTTCAGTGAACAGTCTATTCGGTGATTTTTGAAACAATCTGCTCAATAATTAAATGACTAATTTAGTTGCACTTTCCGTTTAGCTTATCACGTCGNCCCCCCCCCCCCCCCCCGGGCGGCCCTTCTTACTGTAATCATTACGATATATAGAAACAACTGCAACAACAAATAGGTCGCCAGTTACAACAATGGAGGCCGAGCTACCTGTGGAGCCGCAATCGCTGAAGAAGCTGAGCTTCAAATCCCTAAAACGCGCTCTCGATCTCTTCTCACCTCTTCATGGTCACTTTCCTCCACCGGATCCTGAAAGGTTACATCAACATCCCCTAAATAGTGTTTATCAATATAAGAAATAATACTGCTTAATATTAAATAGATAGTCAATATGCCTCGAGCTCTTCCTTTTTATCTATTTTTTGCCTTTCCTTAAATGAGTTTACTGCAAGATTGGTTACTTGGAATACCCACACAACATCCTGTCGGGGCGGTATGTATATGTAAATGGTTGTTATGGCAAAGAAAATATTCAAGTTTAATTCGCAGAGTGTAATTAAACTCTAAATAATGAAGGATAGAAAGTAGGAAGAAGAAAACAAAGGGGAAAATGAAAATTCGAGGTAAGTGAAAACACTTTCTCCTGTGGACAATATTGTCTCCCAGCGGTGCTGATGTATTTCCACATTTGTCTTCCAATAGACAACGATACAACTTGTAGTAGAAGCATTTCAAATCACAAGTAACAACGAACTTAGAATTGAATTTTCTATCTACATGAAAAACGGTTTTAAAATGACTTTTGGAGAGTATTTTGTAAGAATTTTTGATGTAATGCTCCATGCAAATGATATGGGATGCATAATGGACATCCAAATAGTCCTTTATATAGAAGAGGAAAGGTTGTGAGTGAAATGTCTTGCCCAAAACTCTGCAACTTTTGCCAAATGTCGTAAGTCGCTAGTCTGTTACTGACCTCTCGTTCAAGCGACAGTGACACATTTTCATCAGTGCTTCTCTCGTTAGCCTGTCACTCGAGCGACAATCTCACTGCTAGAGCTGGTTTAAGCGATAGGCAAACGACGGAGATAGCTATTTTCTAGCCCATGTATCCTTTTTTCTATCCAACTTTGGACCGTAATTTCTCATTCATTCGGAATTAATTTTAAGATTTCAAATATACCACGACGATCTACTTGACGAGTAAAACAAGCTAGTCTATTTATATTCATAATTTGATCGTCTGATTAAGTTCGAATATTTAGTCGAAGTTGACACGAAAGTCACTTTTTCATACTTAGCCCATGTTTGAGCCACATTATCTTTTTCATTTTCATTCTTCTACTCATTTTCAATCACATATTTTTCAATAAAATAATATTTTCCATTACATCAATAATTTTTTCATTTTTTTCAATCACACATTCCCCATCACATCAAACAAAAAAATACAGATATATGCTCAAAATGTGCACCAAACATGGGCTTAATTTCATTCTCTAAACCAAATTCCAACAAATTCTTATATCGAAGAGTTCTAATAGTGTTCTTCTATTTCAATTATAGCACAAGGATTAATTTTTCTTATTTTTCAACTCGATCGTCATTATTATTTAATGCCTAAGCTCTTCCTTTTCTCTAATTTTTGCCCCTTTTATGAGTTTGCAGAAAGAAAAGGTACTAGGAAGACCCAAAACTCTCGTATCAACATATTCTAAATATTGTATTGAGTTTGCATGTGTGTAATTTTTCTTAATTTTTTACTTGATGGTCCATATTATTTAATGCCTCAAGCTCTTCCGCTTTCTCTATTTTTTGCCTTTCCTTTTATGAGTTCTTTGCAAGAAAGATTACTTGGAATACCCAAACTCTTGTATCAACATGTTGTGAATGGTGTTCTTGTATTTGAGTTTTAGCACATGGATCTAATTTTCCTTAATTTCAGATTGTCAATATTATTAAATACCTCAAGCTCTTCCCTTTTCTCTATTTTTTGTCTTTCCTTTCATGAGTTTTTGGCAAGAAAGGTTACTTGGAATTAGGGACGACAAAAAAATCCGTTCAACTCGATACCCGTTAATCCCCGTCCCATTCGGGAAGGGATTTACCCGCCTAACCGGGTAAACGGGGCGATGGTCATTACCCTATCCGCTCCGTTTAAAGTTAATTTCAAATTTAAGTTTTTTATCAAACAAAAATAATAGATTTATCATCATTTTTAAAGAGAATATAAGTTATTTTTAACAAACTAGTAAAAAAAAAATAATATTAATTAACTAAAGACATAAAAAAATAAAAGCGAAAAATAAAATAAATAAAAAAGAAAAAGAAAAGATAAATGGGGCAAGCCACCCCGATTGGGTATGGGGATGGGGTAAAGTAACAAAAATACCTGACGCGACGGGATTGAGAATGGTTAACCCATCCCATACCCCCCTCGTTGCCATTCCTACTTGGAATACCGAAGACTCTCATACAATGTTCTTGTATTTGAGTTATAGCATATGGATGTAATTCTGCTTAATTTTCAAATGTCAATATTATGTCTTCCCTTTTCTCTAATTGTTTCCTTGCTGATTTGAGTTTGCAGCAAGAAGATTCGGATGAGCCATAAGGTTAGTGCTTGTTAAAATGTATGCACTTGTGTGTTTATGCTATACAAACCAAGGGGCAGAAGATGAATTAGGCTTTTAGTGCAGTATGCTAACTAGTAAAATGTTTATTTTTCTTGCTTTTATGGGGAACAAGGGTATTATAAATTGCGTAAGTATTAGATAAATAAATCAAGCTGCATAATGGAAAATAAAAATTTAAGTTTTTAAGCTGTGGGTTGTTGGAAGGTTGATAATCTATTGTATGGATATTCCCTTTTTCTTTTTTTTTTTTCTTTTTGCTGGGAGAATTAGGTTTTAAGTACATTATGCTAGTTAGTATTATGTTAATTTTTATTGCTATTCTATTCTTCTTTTACTATTTTCTGTGAACAGGGGATTAATCATAAATTGCATAAATATGTAGAAAAAGAAAACAAACTGCATTAATGTATATAAATTGGAAGATAAATGAATTGAGCCAGGGTGGAAAATATGTGGGTTTCTTATGATGTGCAATGTTGAAGCATATTGTATAACTATTGTATAATTGTAATTACGTGGTAATTTTATGTTATTTCTCCGTAATGAAGAGGTTTCATGTTGATTGTGAAGCTCAATACTGAGTATGGGGGAGTAAAAGATACTGCAACTTCTAATGCCAAGGCAGCTGCACAAAGTAAAGCGCAGCAGGCTTCTGCTCCCTCCAATGCCCTTGCACTCCCAGGTATTAAAAACCTTGCTGATATTCAAATCTTCTTAACCTATTGGTAGCATTGATATCTCAAGATATTATGTTGATGCACAGTAAAAAGGTCTACTTGATGACGTGATATCTATAATCTGTTGCTTCAATGGATGTTATGCATATCGGTGTTCTTTTTAGCATTTCTAGGTTATAGCTATTTGTTTGTGTCTAGTTTGTTGACGTGGAATTTGAATTCTCTGCAGGCCCTGAAAGTTCAACGGATCCACAGAAGGGAGTCTCCAATAAGGATATAGTGGTTGGTCCTACTATTCAGCCAAGTGGCTCGTATGTATTTATTGCCTTTGTTTTCTTTGTGTTAACAGTTTTGTCATCTCTGTTTCTCTCTCTTGTATATCATGGAAGATTGTAAAACAAAATTTATTTCTAAGATACCACGTGAAAACAGAAGTTCTGCAAATTTTTCCATTTAAACATGATGTGCTGTATTTCTGAAGCATACAGAATTGACATATCTGGCTTTACAGTTTAATCTACATAATCATCTACCTCATATGCTCTTGCTGTTAAAACTCATTTAATGTAATTATTTGGTGCAGGACTGACAATGGTTTTCCAGGCAGAACCACAGTAGTTCCAACTCGGGGCTCATCTGAAAGGTTTGACCACTTCTCTTTTCTTTATTTGTTACTGTTATCTGGAACCTAAGGTCAGCTCCACTGCAGCTTCATAGTTTGGCCTCCATTTGGGAAAATTTTATAGACGGTTTAATATTATAAATAGATAGAAATGAGTGTTGGATAAGTGGATAGTATTTGTGGTTCATTGGAATGTGTGGTTGAAAATGAAGTTTGACCATTTACAAATGATTTATAAATTTTGCCAAACAGAGGCTTAATAATGTTACGAATAATATAAACTTCTTTAACAATCCTAAGTTCCTGGATTTGTGGCTGTGGCACCAAGTTTCCAGTTAATTATAACATTGTTGTTTTAATCATTTAACTTCGAGGTCAGGGCAGATCTTTTTATGGCCTTTTTGTCAAACTGAATTAGCAAATCCTGCTTCCTCTTTTCTTTCTCTTTTTCAACTTTCAGGGATTGTCAGGTATGAGGATAATGTGAGATGTTGATTAACTTTTCTTTAAAGCAACATATCTGTTTGTGTTGCAGGAATTTTTCAACATCAGCAATTATGGAGAGAATCCCAAGCAAGTGGCCTCGCCCCGTATGGCATGCTCCATGGAAAAATTACAGGGTAACGAACATCTCTAATCCTATATTAAGTTTCTTCGACATAACTATACATGTTCTTTTCACAGTGCCTTCTGACTTGTTGGTTTTTTATCACTAACTAAAAGCATTTACAACTTCTTGAGCAATTCTATTAAAAATAATGACACAGAAAAATAAATCATCCATTTGGGATTATCTTTCTTAATAAATTTTTTTAATGAACTATCATAAACTATTTATAACTTTTTATTTCCTCAAATGGGTAAAAAATAAGAAAAATAAATATAGTATACATGATTCAAGGAGTTCAAACATTAGCTTATGAAAATTCTCATCTGCATGTGGTGATTGAATACTAATCTTAATATGTTCAGGAGTGGAAATATAGTGACAGTTGATTCTAAAGATCTTGATATTTTAATTTTATCGATAATGCAATGGCAAGGAAAGGGATGTTCCGAATGATACTGATAAGTTTTGATAAATAATATACAAGTCGAAAAGGAAACAGAATGAGAGATTATGAAATATATTTTAACTGTTAAAAAGAATATATATCAGCAGATTACTTTTTCCTACAGTATTAAAAAAATTGATCATGGACCTATTGTTTAAGGCAAATCTGAAACTATAAATGAATGAAATCTCATCAGAAATGACTATAGCAACAGATGAGAGTAATTGTATAGACACAGCTATAAAAATACTAGAGAAGCATGAAAGAGAAAAAACAACTCATCCCCTGTTTGGTGTACATTTTTGCTTCAAGAATGCATTTTTTTTATGTGATGGAGAATATGTGGTTAAAAAAGAAGGAAAAATTATTGATGTGATGGACTATATTATTTTATTGAAGAATGTGTGGTTGGAAATGAGTAGAAGATGAGAATGAGAAAAATAATGTGGCTCAAATAGAGGCTCAATATATCTTTGATTTCCAAGCATGCATTGTAAATTCATAACCTAAATTGCAATTAGAATAAATTTTTGGATGGTGCTTGTGAAGTTTGCTAAGATAAATGCAATACTCTCATGTGATTCTTCCAGCTGAGAGTTCGCTAACTAAGTTATATTTTTGCTTCAATGGTTGTAGGCCACAAGATTGATAAATGCTACTGTTCATACTGAATCTGTATGAGGAGAGAGTATATATCTATTATTAACTGGCTATTTTGAAATAGTCAAATGGATTCAAAAGTTCCATCACATATTTGATTGTAGAACCTGAATGCCCTTGTTTGATCCCCATTATTTTCAAAATACATTTTCTTTCTCTTCTTTTCAACCACACATTCTTTAATGAAATAATATTACATGCAAATCCAAAAGTTTTCCTTATATTTTAACCACACATTCTACATCAATTTAATATTCCAAAATGCATTCTTCAATAAAATGGGGCTCAAACAGGCTTTAAATAGGTAAAAGCGAATGGTCGATACTCTAGCTTCGGGACTGTGAAGTTCGCTACCATTTATTCATTATAATGCAGATAAAAGTAGCCCCATGAATTAGTTGGATGAAATAGATATATCTGGTTAAATGAACTATTTAATTACTGTCTTGAAGAAGTAAAGCAATTCGTAAATATGGATATTAGATGCAGCACTAAGATTGTTGCCCTTGGTCTATTGAGCTTAGCTATGTTCATTATTTTTCATCATAAGCTAATATATCTTTTCCTATGATGTTATAGAAAACCAATCATTTTCTACACCCAGAATATTTCAAATTATTTAGCATCAATAAGTATGCCATTCTATTTCTTTCTTTTGTTTTTCTGGTTTCCTTCAATTATTTTCTTTCTGTAATGCTGGCAAGATATGGGATTTAGCAAGTGGGCGCCTTAAACTCACTCTTACTGGACATATCGAACAAATAAGAGGTAGTTTACTTTCTACTGTCAGTCTATTCCTTCTTTTCTAAGCCATATGGAAGAGTAGTAAGAACTAGTTTTTTCCTTGCAGGCCTGGCTGTTAGCAGCAAGCATACATACATGTTCTCTGCTGGTGACGACAAACAAGTTAAATGTTGGGACCTGGAGCAGAATAAGGTTATTGATAGAATGTGAACTATTTTAGGTTAAGTGATTCTGGTTGAGCATGCACTCATTCTTCACCTCACTTTTCAGGTCATTCGGTCTTATCATGGTCATCTGAGTGGTGTTTATTGTTTGGCTGTTCATCCAACCATTGACATTTTGCTCACAGGCGGTCGAGATTCTGTGTGCAGAGTATGTATATCATACTTACACTAATTTCACACTATCTTTATTTCTTCACATATGATAGATATTCAGCTCAGTGTTTTAGATATGCCTGAGAGGTGATAAATAATCACTTAATTTTGATAAAACCCTAATTTCAGGTTTGGGATATTCGCAGCAAAATGCAAATTCATGCACTTTCGGGGCATGATAACACTGTTTGTTCAGTTTTCACCCGACCTACGGTAAGTGATTTTTTTGTAGCTTGGAGAAGTATCAAATTGGATGCCTGTCCCATTTACAACGGAGTTGGTAATTATGCTTCCTCCATCTCGCAATATTTGCTATGTTTTTGGTAAAATCAACTTTTTTATGACATGTTATGTCAAGGACCACAAGTGTTATTGGGGGAAGTAAATGGCATTTGATAACACGCTGGATATCATTGATGTTTGGGAAAATACACGACGTGTGTATCTAGGGAATAATCGCTTGAAAGCGAGTTCTCCCTAGATGCATCTATTCAATTCTTATTCCTTACCTCATGACCAAATTGGTTATTGGGTGGTGAAAATTGTTACAGGTGTACCTAAAACTATTCCTGTAATAGGACCTTTGATATAATTATTGTGTGGAAGTGCTAGTATGGGAAAATCGACTTTAACCGATTGATGTGGCAAAGAAAACATTTCTCTTTATGCAAAAAAAAAAAACTATCAAATTGACTTCATCTTTACTGCTAAAGTCTTGGCCCCTGTTTGGTTTAGCTAAAAATTAGATTTTTAGTAGATTTTGATAAAAGTTGATGAAATGTGTTGTTGAAACGTTGATAAAAGTTGTGGGTCCATTAAAATATGTGATTGAAAATGAGTTAGAAAATAAGGGCCCAATGGGGCTTAAAGTGAATGTTCTTACAGAAGTTTAAAAACTATGAATATATGTTGAGAGGCAACTGGACGACTAATCCTAATGAAATAGCTTTGATTTGCAGGATCCACAAGTCATAACAGGTTCTCATGATACAACTATAAAGTTCTGGGACCTTAGATATGGTAACGTAATTTGAAGAACTATTGAATCTTCCATTATAAATTTTTAACGTTCTCATTTCTAAATTTCAGTTGCTCATGTCTGGCAGGTAAAACAATGGCAACTCTGACACACCATAAAAAATCCGTACGGGCAATGGCTCAGCATCCCAAGGAGTACGTAAACCTTGTCTGCCTTATTTCTTTTTTATTCTGTGGCGAAGATCTATCTTTTGCTTGAACATTTACTTCTTTTCTCTAATCTCAGCACTTTATTGATTTAATGATTTTATTTTGCAGAGATTGTTTTGCATCTGCTTCTGCTGAGAATATAAAAAAGTTTAGCCTTCCTAGAGGAGAATTTATGCACAACATGCTGTGAGTTTCTTGATGTCATGCAATGTACCTTATAAATTTTATCGACGCAAAATCAATAGTCATTTTGTTTGATGCTCAATTATATTTCTCTTCACACTAGTAAGGCAAGGGATATTGGGAAAGCAAACTGTATTTGATGGGTGTATTATTCGTGTTATTGGTCAGATTTAGGAAAAACAACAAAACTTTCCACAGAAGGGGTTTATTTGAAAAATGATGTGTTATATCATATGGTCTGATGACCTGGGATTATGTTTATCTTAAGCAAAGTTGAACTTTTGGTTTGTTGAATGATGGCAATGTAAGTATAATAAATTTATCTCTACGATGATATACCTTGTTTCAATCTTCTACGTGTAAAGAACGTCGTTCAATTAGATTTTCACCCTTTCCATGAGAACTCTGAGATGCACAAGCAATTTTATATTTAATTTGCTACTCATTATCTACAAATCTTTCATCAATGTTTCTACCAATTATCTTTCCACTCTTGGTCAAAATTGCTTTAAATAGAAACTACAGCACTACATTACATTGGAATAAGTGTCCTTAACCCTTCTTCAATGACACTGAAGAAGACTTGTATATCCCTTATTTGATTTCTTCTTATTGCCGGCTCCTCAATAATGGAACGGCAAGATTGATTTTGTCTGACACCATTCATTACAAGATGCACACGTAAAGAGAGAGACTTTTCTTTGTTTCTCTTAATAGGTTCTGCTTTATATTTGCATTGCTTGATACAAAGATAACTCGTAGTATGATCTTCATACCTAGATCAATGGGAACTTGTGAACCAAGTTGTGTTGCAATTTGATGCTTGCCATAAATTTCTGTATGTTCAAGTTTATGCTTCGAAATTATTGGTCTGTATGCTTGAGCAAGAATATCATTACGTTTTTCTGATGACATGTCGACTTTATGTTTGCATATTACAGCTCTCAACAGAAAACAATCATTAATGCAATGGCAGTCAATGAAGATGGTGTATTGGCCACAGGAGGTAAAAGTCATACATAATTATGCAGTTTTCTTTTTCCTTAGCATCTTTCATTTGTTTTGTTTTGTTTTGTTTCTTTTCTTCTTATTTTTAGGTGGAGGTATTATTCTTTAATCCTTCTTAATGCCCTCATTTTTTATTTAAGGTGATAATGGAAGCATGTGGTTCTGGGACTGGAGGAGTGGTCACAATTTCCAACAAGATCAAACAATTGTTCAGCCCGGTATGTATCTTGCACAGATTGGGTAATTTGGGTTCTCTTGTGGCTTGTTGAAAGCAGCAATATTGAAAATTTTGGTTTTACTATTTCAGGGTCACTTGATAGTGAAGCTGGTATCTATGCTATGACCTATGACGTAACGGGTTCTCGACTTATTACTTGTGAGGCAGACAAGACTATCAAGATGTGGAAAGAGGATGAAACGGCAACTCCAGAAACTCATCCTGTACATTTCAAACCGCCCAAAGATATGCGGCGTTTCTAATGTTTTTGCTGAAGTCTTTTCGTCCTTTTTCTTATATTATTTATCGCTATTGGGAAGCTCAAGAAAAGCTCTACGATGTGTGAATTTGCTAATCGTAAATGCAATTTTGAGATTTTGAAATGTACGTATATAATTGACAATGATTTTATCTGAGGTTCTTTATGCTACCCATTAGTTGGTAGAATGTAATCTGTATGAATGGGAAATTCGGTTAAGAGTTGCAAATTGAGAGATTCAAAGTCCATCGTGCCTGTTTCTTACTAGCTAGCTTATTTCGTATATTGTGTTCTGTTAGGTGGAATCGTTGGTGTCTTTTCGACTACTTTTCCCAATCACGTCAATAATGACTACAAAATTTAGTAAATACTTTTTTTCGTCTTAGGTTATTCCAGTTGTAATCTATCCTAAATTTGTTATTTGTTCTTTTAGTATTTCGATGCTTATGTACTTCATCACTCCTTAGTAAATGGAACAAACACATTTTTTGGCATTTCAGAACATTACTCAACATCATGTTGTTAAGAAAGGGTAACATTTCGAGCTACCAAAAATGTATTTGGGACCGTTGAGAGGACAATAAAATTGTGATAGCAAATCTAAAGCTGGTACGATTGTAGTAAGCTATATGATTTAATTTAGCTAAGCAGTCGTATGGTTTAACATTCTAACACGTGGAAGTTGGACTAATTTGTATGGTAAAAGATCGTTTAGAATTTCTATTAAATAAATATTGACAACATTTCATAGCTGGTGAATTTATAAGTTCAGTCTCATGAGTTTACCAATTATCAATTACATATACAGAAATATTAAGTTTAACTCCAATTTACAATTGAAATGTGTTGATAAAAAGCTATTTGAATATTTAAAATATTCATTGAAACAGAATTATAAAAAAAAAAAATTCAAGAAGGGCCCAACCGGGTTCGAACCGGTGACCTATTGATCTGCAGTCAATTGCTCTACCACTGAGCTATGGACCCGTGTTGGCACTTGTTTCAAGTTTTATGAATAAAATAATAAACATTAATATATGACGTATCAACTGATCAACATTGTTAGTTGAATAATTCAAACGGGTTATTAACACAAAACTTCTTACGTATAGAGTTCATTGCGTAAAACATCCCAACATTACATTTTCACTTCTATTTCAACATTTCATTGCGAAAATCATCATTTTCATCCAATTTTTCAATAAAAATCTATGAAAATACGAATATAACCTCATTTTTTAAATATAACAAAAAGCAAAAATAAAAAATAAAAAAAGATTAATTGCAACCATACTTCAATTTTATTTATTTATTTTTTTTTTAAATACAAACGAGTTTCAAATAAATTATTAAAAAAATATAAACTAAAAAAAAAAAAAAAACCCTTTACTTCTTCTCCTCCTCCTCGACCTCGACCTCCACCAAACAATCAAACAAATTTCCATCTCGCCTATAAATTCATCCCACAAAATCATACAACTAACAAATTTTACATTTCTTTCCCAAGCTGCCCCAATCCCTATAACCTCCAAGATAGAAAAAATCAAAATCTAAAATTGAATTGTAGAATCTCTAATGGCTTTATCATCAACAACACCTTTACTCTCCTCTAACTTATTTGGCACCAAAATTTTCATTTCAACCCCTACATCCAAAATAGTGCATACACTAATTATATAGAGATAGAGAAGATTTTACATACAAGATATGAGTCTATCTTCTTTAAAGTTTATCAAAATTTGAATTTTTTGAACCTTTTGCCTTCCGTGTTGATCCGTTATTTCCTTTTTTGTTCAATGTCCTTGTAAGCTAAGACACCCTTTAATTTTGGAACCACTTTCCGTAAATGATTCTTGTATTTTTCTCATTGCCGAAAAACGGTCGGCTTCAATTATGGAAGATTACCAAGATACGTAGCTGAAACGGCGGTGCCACAAGGAAGGTTCGGCCGACAGCGCATTCCGGGTGGGATTCAAATTCCCAAACATGGGAAAAAGTACGGAGGATGAAGATATGGCATTAGGAGGTCACATGAGCAGTGCTCATGTCAGAGAATTCTCTATCAAGAAGCTGAAATCCAAGACGATGAGTATTCCTTCACTTATTCTTGATGGTGATCAGATTGAATCAGATTCTGTAGTGGCTTCTTCTGAGTTCAGAGAAAACTTTAGTAGTCAATGGAGATAACAAGAACTTAGTAAAGATCTGGAGTCCAAGGTTAAAGAAGCAAAAGGTAAAGCCACTATCGACTTCTTCGACTCCTCGAGATGAAATGCAAGAAAATTGATAGTACACGATTCGATTTTTAACAAGAATTCGAAATCCGACTGTGAGTGCGCCAGGAGATGGGTTGTTTAATTTTATTGGGAGGTGGTGTTGGTGGTGGGGGAAGAGGAGGAAGGATGAGAAAGAAAAGAGTACTTTTTTATTACTATTAATTTTTAACTTTTTAAAATTTTATTTGCGACTTGTTTATATTTTTTAAAATAATTCAGAAGTGTAGTTGCAATTAATTCTTTATTTTTCTTTTCTTCTCTCTCTTTTTATATTTAAATATGATGATACATTCGTCATTTCAAGGTTTTTAATTTGAGAAATTGGATGAAATGCACGAAAATGATGATTTTCGCAATGATGTTGAAATAGAGGTGAAAAAAAAAATGCAACGTTGGAACGTTTTGCACAATGAACTTCATACATATGAACATTTTGTGCTAATAACCCTAATTCAAACTATTATATGTTGGTTATTCGTCTCATTTTTATTCAATGTATGATTTTAACATGACCCGTTTTCTCAAAATGGTGGCTTGTTGGCATGTCGATATTATAAAAGTGGTCTAAACATATACGTTATTTATAACACAATATACAGGAGATGTTGAATTTATAAATATTGATACTCGTATCTCAACCCATATTCTTAAATAATTTTTTTTTATATAACCATGGATGTTCGGACCAACTTATGCGCATCTCGACTAATTCCACGGGGCTCTAAAGTTTACTATCGGATACTCAGATCAGTGGCCCTGAAGGACAGATTCTTAAATAATTAAAAAAAATATTTTTAAACAATATCTCGCAAGAACTAAATATGAATTCCATATAGTTATTTCACATAAGAGTTCATTTTGTGCAATAACATGCAAAAGCACACTAGGCTTCGATGAGGTCATTTGCATTGTTCACATATTTTTGCATTTGGGGATAATTAACTTGAAATTTATTGGCTATTACTTCGAAAATCTCAATAAAGATACCTATGTGTTCTCTCTCTCTCCATTTCAAATTTTAACCAAGCTTTAACTTTTAAGCGTTCAGTATAGACTCAAGTGCTACGAAATAGAAAATTAGCGACCCAAATGTGAAGAAACATAGGTCGAAAACCCCTATCGCGCCTGTCGATGACCTCCACTATTATTTTCATTTTTTTTTCTATGGGATTTGGAGGAAGGATACACATGAATCAATCTTCAGGCATCACCATTCCAGTTGGAACAAAAAACATAATATCTAGCAATTTTCTTGTTCATGTTACACCTATTCCATGATCATTCAGTTACAGAAAACAGAAGAATTCTTCAGAGAATTTTTTTAGCACATTATAGTAACTATACTGATACAGGCCGATGCCAATGGGGCAGCTGTGGAAAACGCAGCCCCTCGTTCAGAGAGGGTTAGCAGCTCGGAATGACTCTTTTGTTCGACCATAGTAGACGGCGTTGCTCCCCTGAAATGTGACAAAATTCCACCCAAAAGCCGAACCACCAACAATATATGACACTCCTTGGACCTGATGATCTAAAGCCCTGTTACATGCTTCTGATGTAGAGTTTTCTGATAATTTTGCACGTTTTTGATGCTCTTTGAGATTCTGTTCGTCTTCAATGTTGCCCGGCGCATTAGTACACTTCTCCAGTTTGATGGATTCCGACATCATTTCTTTGTACAGATCCATCATATCCTTCATGCCTGAAAATTAGATTTTAGAATCCTTACAGGTATGGAGTGAAACGGCTCACATAGATTTTTCCCTATTTAATTCGCATACAAGTATTTTCTTCTACTTTGTACATAGAAGGTAAATGGTTATGAGGACATTGCTCCATCATGAGAAATTTTGCAGCAGTTCAATGTGAAGAAAAAAGACGAACATAAGAGCACATGTGGCTAAGGTCATAATAAGAAGTAAAAAATTACATTTTTACTTCCATGTTAGTGACAAAATACAATGATCATGATCATATAGGTAAGGTAAATGATCAGGGGGACAATTAATCCTAAGTTCTTAGATCAAATCTCATGTTGACCTCCCTTCCCCCCTAATCACCCCAATCCATAGGAGGAGGCCAGGCAATTCTCCCAGTCAAGAAAAATAAATATATAAAACAACAAATCAGTATGAGATGCTAGCCACAAATATCATGGAGATTGTTCATCAGTTCAAGAACATATAACTGAAATTTTTAGAAATCTTACCTTGACGAATTTCATCAGCTGCCTTGCAATTTCGAAAATTTGGGGTCTTAAGCACCTTCAAGAAACAACAAAAAAAGTGCTTTAAGAACCTCAATACTACAAATTCCAATTTAATGAGTGAAAATACATGCACTGGGCTTAGAAAAAATACACGCAGCTTGTATCACCAGCGACACACTTATGTGAGGTGTTTATGGATAATTCAACACTCTCCGTTTACGTATGTGGCGTTTGGCTCTCTAAATGAACCTTCATTGACCTATTGGCTTTATGAATAATGATCAATTAACGAAAAATAACTGATGAACTATCAACAAATCCAAGGAAAACTGCTGAAAGCCAAATTCTTCCCCATATAATTTCATAACAGTGTCAGCCCAATACATATGTTGACCATTCGGTAAAAAATGAGTGGATAATCACATTCACACCCTGGTTCAGAATGCAATTTCTATGCAGAGATCACCTCTTATAAATCTCCACTCAAATAGCAATCTCATAAGCCATATTTTCTGAGAGATATTGCACCCGTAGTCTTTTCTCCAGAAGATCAAAGGAATCTCATACAGGATTAGAATCACAATCTCTTACAGCAAGCATTTTCAGAGGTTTATAAAATGTAACAGAAGGATCATTACATCTAAATCTCAAATTCAATTTGAGAAGGCATAGCCCCATTCCTCCAGGTGTAAAAACCACCATTGAAGTCTTTCTCCTAAGAGTGCAATTGCATTTTGACAATTAACTCAGCACCCTGCCGGAGTGGATCAACACACAGTAAATGCAGCTGATACCATGACCGTGAACAGTAAGCATCCGGAAGTGCATACAAGTAGACACACTTACACACATCACTAAAGACCATTGAACTCCAAAAAAAGGAAAATAGAAGGTCGGAGAGTATATTCTAGAAGAGCAACATTGGGACATCCAACCACAGGTATCCACTAAAGTGCCAATACTACAAAGATGTGCATACATATAGCAATAAAATTGGCAGAGAATTAAAGTTCTACATACCAACTGCCTGTATAATCAATTAATCTGTTGATGATTAATTTATTTCATATTGTCCGGAATCAAGAAATCAGACCACTTTCCTCAGGAAACAAAACGACTCAGACAAAAATAAATAAAATCTTGAACCATTGAAAGGAAACCTCGATATGAAATAAAAGAAACGCAATTTGAAAAATCTACTCGCACTCTTCACAAAAAAAGCAAACAGAATCCATTTTGTATCCCTGATAATTATAGGAAAAAAAGAAAAACTCAAGCAACACAAAAAATGCATTTTTTTTTCCATATTTGTTAATATAAAAAATAATATTAATTTTAGAATCCTAGCACATTGAAAAAAGTAAAATATTGACAGACCCTATTTATAAGAAATCGACACAAAAAATAAAATAAAGGCAGGAAAATTTTCCATTTCCTATAGCAAATTATTAGGAGAAACCTCTAAACCCATAAAATGAATAGAATATATCTTGATGAGAACTTCATGAATTCATCTAAATTTGTTTCTTAGGACATTTAGTAAGAAAATAAAAGTTCAATTTATGAATTATCGTTTCGTTTTGGGCATCAGAAATACTTCCAAAAATTCCACATAATTCAAGAAACCCATTCAATAAAATCTTAGATTACTCCAGTAAAACATATTTCTTGGAAAAAGTAAATCCTCAGAATTTAACCTCTATGAAATGGGGTCGAAGATCTCTAAGAACAGCGCGCATCTTGTAATAAGGAGCATTCTTAAAGTTGGATAAGTTTTGTTCGAGAGGTCTCTTCTTGCTCTGTGGGGGTAGAGTCTGAGGTGTGGAGGGAGGTAGGGTCTCAGGTGTGGATTGGGCAACTTTAGGTTCTTCCATTGTTGGTCTTTCTCACTCACCCTGTGCAAGAAAATAATTTTGATAGGGGTTAGATCTCCTTTTCTTTTTTCAAACAAGCGCCGGTTGGTCAGCATTCTTTCGAAATTAATTTTTTTTTCGTATTCATTTTTAATCAAGTATTTTGATAATAAAATATTATTTACGTAAATTTAAAACTTTAATCTACGTTTTAATCATACTTTTGGTAAAAATTACTATTTAAAAATGCTTTCTTTATAAAAAAAAAAAAAGGCCATCAAACAAGGGTTCCATCTCATTTGTCAAATAAATCTTATTTCGCCAAGTTCAAAGGTTTTCTTAGAGTTGAAATGTTTCATTAGTCAATGAATTTATACTTTGTCACGTTTTGCACATCAAACTTTAAAATATTTTTGAAGATCACTCCACCACTCACTCACTCACTATGTTTTATAAGTCATTGAAATTTAAAATACTTTCAAATTGTCATTGAACTTTAATAGATTGCACTATATTAGTAATTGAACTTTATTAGAATGCTTTATTAGTAATTGAACTTATACATTCATCGCATTTTACTCGCAGACTTTAAAATGCTTTTAAATTGTTAATGGACTTCATAATGTTTGCAAGTAAATTTAATTTTCTGTAAGATTCGACCTAAATGAAAAAAATAAAATAAAATCAATATCGACAATGAAATTCTAAATTTAAGACTAGAATATTAATATTAGTCGAAAAGATATAATTTTTTAATCGTCAAAAACCATGTTTAAGGGGAAAGAAGAATGATATCTTCAAATTGACATAAGTCTTAATTTAAACATGCTCTTCCTTTACGTCTGGAAAATTAAATAGAGAAATTTATTTTGATTGAGATCGTAGACCCAAATCAAGAAAATAAAAAACTTTATCTCAGGCTGGGAGTAAAATTTTCCATTTAGAGCAATAATGCTAATCAAGACTAGCAAAATATAATTTTTAGAGTTGTCACAAAGTAGTTCAAGAGGAAATAAGGGAGTCGTCTTCACACATGATATTTTGTAGTTCAAAATTTTCAATTTTTAAACATTTGAATTCAACGAGTAAAGTTTAGTGACCACTCAAAAGCATTTTAAAGTTTATTGACTAAGTGTGACGGAGGTGTAAGTTCAGCGTGTAATAAAACATGGTAAGTAAGTAATGGAATACAACATGTTAAATTTTAGTGATTACTCGAAAACATTTTTAAAATTTAGTGACTAATGAAATATGGTGAGTGGTGGATAGAGAGCAATGCGTTAAAGTTCAGTAACCAATGTGAAGTGTTTTAAACTTTAGTAAGTAAAGCGTGACGGAGTTATAAGTTCTATGGTTAATGAGACATTTTACTCTGTTTTCTTATAAGTAATAAGTAAATTGTAAAGAAATATTTTTTATTGATAAAATAATACAAGCCATTTAGAGTATGTATGACAATGGGAACAAGGTGGCACTCCTCGTTTCTTGCCTTGTAGGGATTTTTGGGAAAGCAAAGTCAGGATGTGAAGGGGTCAGACGGGATTAAAATATCCCTATTTCTCAAGCTCGTTTCCCATTTATTTACTTATTTTTACATATTATATTTTTAAATATTAATTAAATACATAAAAATAAGTTCTATCCCGATTTTCATAAACTAACCAGGGAATAACGAGGAACGAGTGGAAGCGGACATTTTGCTATCTCTAATTAGATATTATCCCTACAATATATAAAATAACAAAGTTTGTTACTATTCATAAGGCATCATCTTTGTGTCATGTTGATGTCATATATACTAATTTTACCTTTTTCAAATTTTCCTCTCTAGTACTACGTAGTTTTCTTCTCACAGGACATGGTTTTTTCATTTCTCCACACAAGCTCACATACCTCTTTACTCTTGTCTTTACACGGTCATACAAGACTTGTCATTTCTTCTTCTCTCTTTACTATTTTTTGTTTAATTTCGCCTGTCTTTTCTATTTGCATTTCCTTAGATTTTATTTTCCCCTCTTTTGTTATCTTTCTCTACTTCTTAGTCCCCCTTTCACTTTCTCTCCGTCGTTGTTCTTACTGCCCATTTGAAATCAAACCATAGGTAACAAAATCACAGATTATTTTCACCGTTTGTTCTTCTCTACGATTCAGTCATCCTGTATTTCCTTTGGTGAACAATTTTTCTTTAGAGCTTCTTCATTTCTTCATATGATTGGAACCCTGTCTCCCAAATCCCAATCGATGCTGTTGTGTTTGTTTCTTATTGTCTTAAAATCCAAAAACCCTACAGTTGCTGAAATCATACATGCATTTTTAAATCTTCGATTAGGTGTGTTATTTAAGTCCACCTGTGATGAGGAAATGCTGTCATAGAATTAGGGGTTTTGGGGCTATTTGTTTTTCTTTTTGAACCTTTTGTTTGGTTGTTCAAATGAAATATTGATTTCATTTTGGTGTATGTGGCAAGCTAAAAAATCAGTTATAGAAATTAGAATTTAGAACATTAATTAGTTTGGTTATTATATTTGAATAAAGAAAATGAAAGACTGAAATGCAACTAAATTGAAAATTAGAATATTAATCAACTTGAATTGTGTTTTTCTGGAATTCGTGGTAAAATGATCAAGTCCATTGTAATATTTCTCTACTTCTCAATTGTTTGGAAGGGTTTGTAAGACGTGCATATCTTTGATCTTCAACTTTCACGTGTATTTTTCTTGTAAATAAATTATTGTATGATCAATCTTTTGACTTTTTGATAGCAATCATTTCATTAACTTGTATTATTGTTTTTCGGCTATATAAAAAATAAATTACCCTTCATTTATTTATTTTTATCTTAGCACACACAATCTTGGAGTTGCCTTTAGTACCATTTGAAATCTTATGACGGGTTAAGTAGAGGACAAATGAGTATCTATTGAGCAGGTGAAGCATGAGAAATTGTTTCACTTTGCCAGAAGGAGCCATCACAGGGTTGAAAGCCAATGCCGATATTCGGAGGTACTCACAAATATTTAATTTTCTTCCACTTTTTCTACATCGTGTATCCTTAAGTTATGTGACAGATTTTGTATGATTTTAATTTAGGGACATTATCGTGTTGGGATCCCTAAGTTAATTGAAATATATGCTGCATTACAAGAGAATTGCTTATTTTCAAGAAGAATTTTCCTAAGGTTTAACATAATGAGGTCATTCCAAGTACAACCTTGCCATTTTTCTCATAATTATGTTGCATTTGTGACATTGATACGTTGATACAATTTACTTTTTGATATCCAAGATGACATTCTCCGATGAATGCTGATATCCACAAATGATGAATGTATTATATTTTCTCATGAGTTTTATGAAAGCATTTTTGATATCAAACTTACAAATAAAATATAATTTTATTCCATGTAATTAAAGGGGTTATTATGTTAATAGATTTTTTTTTTTCAAAGTAGGTCATATATTTCTACGAGTTCTGTAAATAGTATTAAATGGAATCAATATATATTACTTTCTCATCGAATTAATGATTCTTGTTACTAGATAAATGTCTCTTTCTGTGAGTTGAGAAATATTATTGCTTGATGAATTAATGATTCTTGTTATTAGATAAATGTATATTTCTATGTGTTGAAAAATATTAATGTTTGATATTCTCTTCAACGTATTTGACTAAAAAATGCAAGGATGTGTTCTAAAAATAAATGCATCACTCTCATCATTAATACCAATTGGTAGTTCCATAAGTTATATACTTGTCGGGGGACGAAAAGGTAATTTATGCTTACCCAACTCAAGCTTCTTACCTTCTACGTTGAGGGGTTTGGTGAATAATTTATAAGCCAAATTCCTATTGCAGCTAGCGGCGTTGGACTTCATAGTCTATACAGCTTTTGATATATTTGCCATGACTAACTAAGGAAATCAAATTTCATCTTTGATAGCTGGTTATCGAATCTATTATGGTGGGGGAAATGCTGACTATACGGCCAAACAAACGCCGGCTTGTGAAAAAAATTTCCATCTTTACTTTTTTTTACTGTCTATCACTCTACCTTCTTTGTTGACTTAAAAAATAATTTTATCGTTATGGAAAGTATTTTTGAATAATCTTTTATTTGCTACAAGTTTGTTATTGTATGTGCAAACCTTAATCGCAATGCTGCATTTGAGGTGAACTCTATTTCTTTTTCTATTATTATTTATTTATTTTATGTTTCATTTTTGTTTTGTTCCCGATGTATCTCTGGGTCTGAATTTGGTTTCATCTATTCTTCTTGATGGTTTGGTATGGTTTGTAATGCATATCTTTGATCTTGTAAATAAATTACGTGTATTTTCATGTGTATTTTTCTTGTAAATAAATTATAGTATGATCAATCTTTTGACTTTTTGATAGCAATCATTTTATTAACTTTTATTACTTTTTCCGGCTATATAAAAAATCAATTACCCTTCATTTTTTTTTTTTAATCTCAGCACACACAATCTTGGAGTTGCCATTAGTATCATTTGAAATCTTATGCTAGGTTAAGTAGCTGACAAATGAGTATCTATTGAGCAGGTGAAGCATGAGGAATTGTTTTACTTTGCAGAAGGAGTCATCACAAGGTTGAAAGTCAATACTGATATTCGGAGGTACTCAAAAATGTTTAATTTTCTTCCACTTTTTCTACATTGAGTATCCTTGAGCTATGTGACAGATTTTGTATGGTTTTAATTTTGGGACATTATCATGTTGTGGATCCCTAAGTTAATTGAAATATATGCTGTATTGTAAGAGAATTATTCATTTTTCTCAAGTGGAAGCTTTTTTCCTCATGAAGAATTTGCCTAAAGTTTAACATAATGAGGTCCCTTGTCCCATTTTCTCAGAATTATGTTTCATTTGTGACATTGATAAGTTGATACAATTTACTTTTTGATATTCAAGACGACTTTCTCCGATGAATGCTGATATCCGAAAATAATGAATGTATTATATTTTCTCATGAGTTTTAGGAAGACATTTTATGACATCAAAC